GTCGTTGGTGGCTTGAGTTAAAAACAGAATTCGGGGCCTGGGCTGCTGCCAGCTGCGGAACCACTCGTCTGTACGTTTGACGGATATTCTGAAACGGAGCTTGTGTCTTGTTGCATACGCAAGCACCACCACGGCCGCCGCAACGCACCGCCGCGGGCACTAAGGCTATCCGGAATACCCTGATGATCAATTTTTTCCTCATCGACGGGCCTGCAGAGCGAGATGCAACGGAGTGCGCATCTCCACAAGTCATACGACTGAGACTTCTCGACGTCACGGGCGCCACGACGCGGGAGAGAAGGGCACAGTATCGCTCGGGTAAGGCGGCCGACGAATTCTAAAATTAAGAAAGCAAAAGTAGATACGGCGGCTTTTCGATAGCTCTCTTTCCGGCTTCTTGGCTCCGAACGCCGCCGCGATCGTGTTTGTGGGTTTTGGGTTTTAGTCATGTTCCCTCCCCCTTCACCGTAACAACTGGCATCGCGGGGAACGATAGAAGGTGATGGCGATGTTTGGAAATTGCAGGATGAATGTACGTCCAGCTGTCACCAATTACTGCCCGCACACATGGTATCACATTTTGGTAGGGGAGAGATACCAAATGTTGATTCCAAATGCGGTTTTGGCTTTGATGGCCGGACTAGCCGCGATATTCCCAACCCGCGGCCCAAGTCTCTCTCCATCATCTCTCTCAAACAATGGCGCCGTGGCCGGCCCCCCATCGAACAGGCTTTTCACGATTTCCCGTTCTCAACTATAGGAAGGATGAATGAGCAGGATGGGCACGTGTTGGGAGCAAAACCCCAGCAAGGGCCAACATCGGATCGGCGCGCGAGTGTGCCTCTGTGCGGGCTGTGTTTCGTGATGATTGAACTACCTTTTTGTGTGTTGAGTGAGGGTAGGGACAGGCGGGCGAACTACTTCGGTCCGGTTCGTCGGGGGCATTGCGTGCTTTCTGTCAGTGTATCATAACATTTCCCACGGGGATGCTTGTCCGTTTTGTCTGCCCATTGCTCCCTGTCAGTAAACATCCGAGATTCTCTCTGGGTGACGGTGAAGGAGTGTCCGCCGTCTGACTGTGATTCCTTCTCGACTGTGATCTTGAATTTGCGATGCTTGGTGGCTGTCGGACTGAGATATACGATGCCTGATCCAGGAGGACGATGAGATATGATTCTCTCGCTGTCGTTTTGACATCCTCCCGCTGTTTTGTCTCCTTCTGTGCCAGGAATGTAGTAAGAATCCAAACGGAGGGAATTTCCAATCGGCTCGGCTTGCCGTAAACTACTTCTTGTCCAGACATCCATGACCCCAAAAGGACATCGTTTTCGCCAAAGTTCGGATGCAGCGTTCCCCTCACAGGTATCCTTTCTCACGCAGAGTTTTGGTAAGGTTTTCGGATGTCAAGTGGACATGGCATTTTCGTAGTATGGGGAAATCGAGACTGATGCTGTTCGCTTCGTGTATGGTTTCTCTGTGAAGAGACTGATGAATTTGAGGTTGCTCACATGTGCATTGGGACTCGGGAAGGGGAAGTGCGTAACTCCTCGTGGGATCATGGTTCATAGAATCAGGCTTTGCATGGATAGATGTGATGAATCTACTGATTATGTTGGTTATGGAAGTTTCTTAACGCTGTTGAAATGGTATTCTGAATTCTGTTATCATTTTGCGGGAGGTGGTGTCGTTGCTGATGTTGTTGCGGTGTGGGTGTTGGATGAGTCATACCTCGACAAAGTTGGCTGAGATGGGAACTCGTCGCCACGAGGATGTCAGGACGGCTAAAATACATAGACTGATTTTAAGCAGCGATTCTATGAGAGACAAATGTTTCAAAACTTCAGAATACGAATCGTGGGATGTATGTAGCCTGGTTCACTCACGTCAAGGAGAGGCTCTGCTACGTCCAAGACAATAAACAACCGCGACTGGACCTTCGCGCCTTCATTTCCAACTTTACCACCATTACAATTCTTCTCGGCCAGAATAAAACGCTGACTACACACTGTAAAGAGCCGCTAGATAGTTCGTGAAAAGTCGTTCGCAGTCGCTGCCGGAATTTGAATTCCGTCGTGGGACACCCGTCTGCCTGCTTTTCACCATTCTCCACGAGGTTGCAAGCACGCACCGTCCCGGTTGATACTATATCGTACAGCTCTCATTCAATCGATTGAATAAACGGTCGAGGACGTTTCCCTCTCAGCTTGGCCAGTCCGCCGATTACACAGTTGAGTTTTCGATACCCCAGAATCGTCCCTTCTCTGGGAAGCCTCGAGATATATGCGCGCCCCGAGCGTTCGGCATCTGTCCAAACTCTGAAATTGGCATGAACGGGACCCTCGGAGTGCGGTATCCTGACTCAGACGAGAACGGACTTTTCCCCAACGGCAGGTCATGGCTCTTGTCCGTCTCTCGCTAGATATTTCGGATCGTTCGCGGAGTAAGTAGTTGCCAGCACATGGAGCTCCCTTGGTGATATATCCCAATTCAAAAGGAAAAGAAGATAGACTTCTGCCCGACAGCTTTATCACGCGTGTTTATTTCCCCGCGTGCGGTCAAAAGCATGCCCCCCTCCACAACTCTTCTCTTTCCAATTCCGATCCTTTGGGATATCGATATCGATATTTCAGGCCAGATACGCGGTTAGAGTATCGGATATAGACTTTGAAGAAAGCGGTCTCTTTTAGGATGCGCCGGTATCTCATACCATCCCAAATCAACGCCTTCACTGTCCTTGTAGTTGTTACAATACAGCTCCGTCTTACATCAGCCCAGTTCCCCATTCCATCAAACCTCCGGTCCGCGCTGGACCAGAGACTTCAGATCGCATGGAGGACAGCTCTGCGGTAGGAGCCGTAGGTACTGGGAAAAACAGACCCTGTCCAATATCAACCTTTCCTCGGCGGCCAGCCCGGATCCCAATCGCACCAATGAAGCAACATTTCCCGTCAGATCTCTCATCTCAGATCACCCTCCCTCACTTCAAGCTTCCCCGAAACCCAATGTCACGTGTGCGCAAAGGTCGCGTTATCGAATGGGGCGAGATAATATAATGTAATCAGAAAGTAAGCAACCAAAAAAGCTAGACCTCGCGATAGGAAAAGCCCAATTTCACATATTCGATGTCAACCATTGCGCAAACCGTCCCAAACATGACAGACTTCCTAGAGGTTGCTTACACACGACGACGAACGGACGTTGAACAGACCATGTGTGTGGCAACTACCCCCCCAAGACCGTGGTTTGTGATTACCGTCGAGTAAACGGCGGGAGAAAAACGTTTGCGCCTCGCGCCATGAAACCCGCCACGTGAGAAAGACGTCCCGTGAAGTTGAAATCTTCCATCCCCTCAAAGAAAGAATACACGGCCGAGGCTTTGCGGGAGCTTTCACCTGCATCCATCCTGCAGCTAATCGGTTGGGGGAGAAGACACAGACGCATGGCGCCTGTAAGCTAACGCTGCAGCACGCAAGGAATACATAACCCCTCACTTGTGGCTGATTGACACAAATCAGATACAATCTCGGGCCACAGGAGGAGCGCGCAAAGTGAGGGGTGGGATGGGAGGAAGGATGGATGACGGAAAGGAGGAGGGGAAAAGAGGAGCGCAACCGGTCGGCACGAGGGGAAACTCTCGCGATGGCATCATTCCCATCCTTCTAGAACGCTCAACCCCTCTGCCCCCGAGAGTAGCAGACTTTTCCATCATTGAGAGAATCCGATATCTTTTCTGAAAGTCTAACTTCCCCAACTCTCAATTCGCCCTCCCCGATCAAACGCCCCGGAGCTCTCTCCCACTTCGAAAATGTCAAACTTCCCCAAGCTAATCCCGGCCTTCACCGTCCAGGTGAGAAACCTCGCCAAACTCAATTGCAAGCATCAAAGCTCCGTACGGTCCGCTGACAAAAACAGATTCACCTCGGCGACCCCTCCCCAATCGGCACCCTCGCCCACGGGCCCTCCCAGCTCCACGCCCCCTTCCTCCCGGACGCGGGCGCCCTCGTCTCCGAGCCGAACTACCCACTCCGCATCGACGCCGTCTTCCTCCACGGCTCCGACTTCCTCCGCTTCGACCCGGACGGCAACACCGCGCGCCTCGAGGTCGCGAGCGCGCTGCGCGACAGGGCCACCGGCGCGGTGATCCGCTTCGACTACACGGGCACGATCGACATCTCGGGACCCGCGGGGAAAGTGTTGAAGGATCTCCCGGGGGCGGCGACGACGGAGTTCGGGGATGCTTGTGGGTTTTGCTGCTGCTCGGTGTGCAACGAGTTGAGCTAACCGGGTCGCGCAGTCACTTCCGCAAAGTTCGAGTCCGGGCACGAGGCGCTGAGGGAGTTGCAGAACAAGATCTACGTCGGGTCCGGACGGTTCGTGCTCGAGGAGGGCAAGCCGATTGTGGTGGAGTACAAGATCAGCGAGGTCGTTGCCTGAGCACCTACGAGAGACATCACGGGCGCCATTGTACGGGGACAGGTCTTGTCAACTTGTGTATGTGGATTTGCCTGAAGGGAAAATCTTTCGTCTACGTTCTTTCAACCTCCCAAGAAAGCCTCCTCCCCTCCTCCCTCCGAAAACAAGAACCATGTCATGCGAGGCGAAAACACCGTCCTCTTCCTCCTGTGCTGCGTTTTCTGGGAACTCTTTGAGACTGTGAGTGTGACGACGTTGCCTGCCTGGCCGTGTAGCAAAATCCGAAACTCCCAACATACAGCCCTCTGCTGCAGCAAATGCAATGCGTATTTGTGTAAAATGTGTTTGTCTGTGTAGTCGTAGTAGTCCTGAACCTTCGTTCTATCCACTCTGTGGGAATCGGAGGGCTGGCGGCTAGCGCGCGTTGGAATCGAAAAAGGATAAGAAAGGGCCGCCAAGCAGTCGATTGAGTTGACCAAAAGTGATGCGTACTCAGAATGCTCAAACCCGGGCCGTCATAAATGCCGTTCCAACGTCAACGTTCCCTGGCCACATGTGCCCGTTCCGGTCGTTTCGCCCGCACATACTTAGACGCCAGCCAGCTGCATGAGGCGCTCGCCGGCTCTGAGGTTGGCGTACTCGTAGGCCTTGGACTCGGCAGGGAAGGTACCGTTCGCGGCCCAGAGGTCGATCAGGGGCTGCATGGGCTCGAGCTCGTGGGGCTTCAGCATATCCAGAGCAGTGGCGGTAAGGATGAAGTGACTGAAGCAACTGTTCAGGGACTTCTCCAGGTTCAGGTGGTAGAAGGGCTCGGTGAAATGAGCCCAGTAGAGGTGAGCGTAGACGCGGAACATCTGGCGGAAGATGGTCTGGCATACGTCGATGAAGTTCTGGGGAAAGCCGGAGCGTTTGCCGATCCAGTCGGGCTCACCCGGGTTGGTGAGCTGGGAGAGGGGCGTCGTTGTGATGCTGGGGTTGTGCGCGTAGGAGACGCCCGAGGGGTCGGTGGGAAAGATGTTGGTGTCGTCGATCTTGCCCGAGATCCATCTCTGCATAAGAGTCATGTATTCAGCGGCGGGAAGTTCAACGGGCTCTCTGCGGCTGTTGAGCCAGGTGAAGGAGTGGTTACTGTGATATGTCAGAAGTTGAGTGAGTGGCAGTGAGATTTGAATTCGACTTACGTTCCAGCAGACATCCTCGGGCAAGTTGATGCGTTGCAGATGGTGGTTCCATCCTCCTCCTTCTCGTGAAGGACACGGACAAAGTTCCAGAGGTTTCTGTAGTGCTCGACAACTAGAATTTGGTAAGTATCAACTCGGCGAGATTATGGCAGCAAAATTCACGCACCCTGATGCGCGATCCACTCGCCCTGCTCGACCGTCTTTGGCCTTGCACTCAGGGTCATGAAGTTGCCCTTGACAATGTGCTTGCCATAGTTGGAGTTGAGCCAGATCGGCATGGGCCGAGGCAGGTGGTATGAACCGAGGATGTCGTCGCCGTTAGCCATGCCGCCCTGAGCATCCATACCAATAGTCTGAGCAAGAGAAGGAGAGTTGGGCAAAGGCGGGACACTGGGCGCCCTGACAGAAGCCTGGCTTTGAGGTGCCTGCGCAACGGTAGGTGATGAAGGCTGGCCGGCGGTTGAAGACGTGGGGGACTTGTTCTGTCCAGGAGGTTTAGCGGCGGCACCCCGGAAGCGGGCGTTGCTGTTTATCGATGCCAGGTTAGCGGGCGAAAGGTGAGGATTAGGATAAGCAACGCAAGGCATAGAAAAGAATCGAGCATGATGGTAACGTCGACCACTAGGCCGATGACAAGGGGGTACCAAGACCCAAGGGCCTGCTCCAGCCATGCTGAGAGTATCTGACTGAGACAAGGCATAGCATGGAGCGGGGCTGTTGACCAGCTAGGGATATCTTGAGACCGTTGCTGACCAGGGCTGCCGGGTAAGGCCGTTGCCTGAGCGGGGCCGAACGGTGTTGCGTTGATGGAATTTGATGAATCGACAGCCAGCCGTACAGGTCGCGCCGTGGAGTAGGCCAGGAGCTGCCTCAGCCTCGTCATTGAAGCTCCCAAGAGGATACTTCGACAGTTCCTGTGGTGCTGTTGATTGAAACTGGTGATGTCGCCAGGCTGAAGGTATCGAGCAGCGGGGTCGAGGACGCGTTGATCTCCGCAAGAGTAGAAAGGCGGTAAAGGTATACGAAACGATCTTGACATGGGCGGGTATTGGCGAAAATGTCTAGGCTCGAAACCCATGGAAATAATTTTTAGTGTGATGTCGAAGCCCAGCCCATTGAAAGCACAGACAAAGCTTGCAAAGGGCAGGCAGCCTCCTGTCGCCTTCCTCCTCCGTAGGTCTGGTGATAGGCTTGTGGAGGAACCGAACTCTTTACTTCAAGTCCTGCTGTTGGGTCTGGCCTCGTTTGATACCCAAAGCTAGTCGTGGCAATAGGTGTTGCCTCATGGATGACAGTATTGATACCGGCTTGGTCCTTTGGTTCCACTTCCTCCTCTCCTCCACGACGTTGATGTGATGGATGCTGATATCGGAGAGCAATGGTGAGATGGAGCAGCCATTGCATCCACGTCATCTCAAAACACCAGACCTGGGACTTGGTGACACAGGTCCTTTCGCAGTGCAATATTGCATCTGAAGCATGGAAGCGATTCACCCCGCATTAACAGAACAAGGGACAGGTTGCCTTTTGTTCCAATAACGTACTGACGTGCGGCAGCAACCACAAGCCAACTGATGAACACCACACATGACAGCAACAATCAGATGAGTTCGTCATGTTGAAGTCCTGTCTGTTCTCAAGGGAAGAAGATGCACCCCATGTCTCGGGGTCGGGCCAGTTGCATGTACCAAGTAACGGCTGCGGGCTGCGGCACTAGCCGAGGAACCAACTTCACAGCTGTCTGCTGTGCAGCCGCCATGACACCCTCCAGTCCTGTCCCTGGCAGCCCAATATTGGAGATAGATAAGAATAAAAGCAGGCAGGGATGGGGGAACAGACAAGGAAGGGCAAAAAGCAAAAGCAAAAAGCAAAAGGACAAACGAGAAGGTGGTAGTAACTCACATTCCTGAGAAGAGGTTCGACATGGCAAAAGAGACGTCCCGCGGTGAGGGGGAGGCGGAGGGGGTTATATGGCTGGGTCGACCGGCACACCTCCTGGGAGGGTTGTACTCTGTAGGGGCTGGGAAAATAGGTTCTCAGGGCTGATGATTCAAAATTCAGACCGTTTGACAATGGAAAAGTGGTCGGATATCAAGCAAGGAGAGAGGGTTAAGCTGAAAAGGGGCGGTTGAAGGTGAGCTTCTTCAGACTACGTTCGCTCCTGCATCCAAACAGGAGTAGCAGCATGAGGGACGCTAGACTTGAAATGTTACATTAAGCGAGCGCACGGGCCGTCTCCTCCACAGCCTTGGGTCTCCATGCTGCTTGACTCTGTCGCCATTGGACTGCCGCTAGGCGGAAATAAGGGTCCTCTTCAGCCTCGTGTGGCGTCTGGGAGGTTGGGGCGAACAGACGGTGTAGCTTTTGACCATCTAAAAGCTCCTCTAAAGTCAGGGGAAGTCGCCCAGATCATCTGCAATTACAAATTGCCTCCACTGACGCCAAGTACCCTCTGCCACTGCCGTGTCTAGTCGGCATAAATCCGCCAAAGCATAAACCTGACAGACCGGGACTCGGTGCCGAGACGGGGATCTCCCATCAAATCGGTTGTTCTTACCTCCGGCATCCGGAGTAGGTGTTCTGAGGTCGGTGTGTGGCGGTGCTTCTTCACCAGCCTCACGTACATTCACTCACCGAGAAGTTCAATTGAGTGGGTCAAATTTTCGAGCAGGGATCCCGCAAGCCTCGCTGTAGCGTCTGCTTCCAGCAAAGGAGCTACACGTCCATTCGCAACAACGTCAATTTTTGCCATCACCTTCACATTCAGAAACACCCGAGTCGAAATTACCCGTCAACATGTCTGACTCTGAGGAATTGGTCGAGCTCCCCGAGGAGGAGGAGGAGGACCTCTTTGGCGACGAGGCGGCCGACGAGCTCCCAGAGGACCGCAGTCGCGCCGGCAGCGAACGCGCCGCATCGGATGGACTCGCGGCAGACGAGGATGAGGAGAGGTATGATGCAGGCCCGACATCAACGGACTACGAGACGAAAGTTATCGAGGCTGTGGAGATGCAGCGCCATCGCATTCCCAAGGCGAAGGAGCAGAGAGTGAGTTGACGCGACGATCCTGCTCTTTGCGACATGCGCTTACCCCGTGCAGCTTGGATCTCTTCGCGTTCCCAAGTTTTTCAGATTCATCCCCACGATTTACGACCCTGAAACCTTCGAGCCCACTGAGGAGGATATCGAGAACGCCAAGGCCGACACGCCAAAGCACGATATTCGCGTGCGCAGACACGGCAACAAGCTGCAAAGTAACGCCATGATTCACAGATGGAGCGACGGTTCAGTGACCATTACCGTCGGCGACGAGCACTTGGAGGTCACCACGAAGGCTCTGGCACCGGGCCCTGAGCAGCCATACTCGGACCTTCAGGACGGTCATTACTACGCGGCCGCGGCTGAATACTCCAGCAACTTCCTCATGTTCGTTGGCCACGTTACCGACCAGTTCATAGTACGTCCTGGAAAGGAGGTCCAGGACGACGCACTTGCTGCCCTCGCCGAGCGCATGGCTACAGTCACACAGAAGCCCCAGGAGAAGGACATGATCATCAACACCATCCAGGACCCCGAGCTCAGGAAACGACAGGCCGAGCAGGCAGAGAAGGAGCGCATGAAGGCGCAACGTCGTCGCGAGACGGCGGCTGCCAAGTTGACGGATTCCAGCAGGGGTTACGGCCGCGGGGGCGGTCTTTCCATTGGAGACCTGGAAGGGCGCCGCGGTGCCGGCCGCAAGAGGCCTGGCGCACCGAAGCAGAAGAGGAGACGTCCCGAATACGACTCTGATGATGACCTTCCCTCGGGCGCGCGCAGACAGGACGACTACGACATGGAAGACGACTTTATTGTCGGTAGCGACGACGAAATCAGCGAGGGTCCGGATGACGATAACGAGGAAATCCTGGACGACGATGATGAGGACGAGAGGCCGCGATCCAAGAAGCGACAAAAGATGTCTGACGACGAAGATGCCGATGGCGATGAGGACGATATGATGGAGCCGAGTGGCAGGGGCAGACGTCGTCACGTCGTAGACGACGATGATTCGGAGTAAGGGGTTTTCAACTGGACGGCCAGATCACCAGAAGAAGACGGCGCATGTGTCATTTGTATAATATCAGAAGTTTCTTACACGCACGGGCGAGACGGGCGGCCCATAGACACCAAAAACAAAATGCACGATATCCAAACGTTTATCCTCATGCAATGCCAACCTCAAGTGCCGTCAGGTCTAAATGATGAGCTCACCAGCCGCTGTTTGAAAAGGCACACCCTGCTATGTGCGGCTAGGCTTGGTTCTGGCGTCGCCAACGGTGGAACACGTGCTGCAATGGGCGAAATTCTTTGTCATGGACGAAAATAGGCCGTTATCGGTGCGATTGACTTTGTTGGGGGCTCACCAGCATTAGCACTCTAGACTGGTGGCTCGCAGCGACTCAGTCCAACGCATGACGAGAGTTTCGTGGGACGGAACGGCGGATAAGGCGTTGCTGTGGAATAAGGTGCGACGGAATGGTCTCGCAGGCGGGCGAAGTTGACGACGGGAAAAAGGCATTGTCACATGTCGACAGCTAGCGCCAAGCACCACCAGCGAGGACAGTGATTGACTACCTACTGGGCGGGCAGTTGGCAGCAGTGGTGGGCATGCAGCAAAGATGGATGGATGGATGGCATGGGACGGCATAACCAAGCACCAAAGCCAAGCACTCACTGGACACAGGTAGCTGAAGGAGCTGCTCGTCCGGCCCCCAACCCTCCCTCCACCAGCTCGGGATGCTACACGACCTGACGCTGTGTGTAGGTGGTTGTGTGGGGTTGGGGGTCTCGTGGTCTGCTGCAAAGAAGCAATGGGCAAGAGCACCTGATGCTATCCGCTACAGTCCGCCCCCCGGGCAATCCAATGCGCTCCAATGGAGCCTGACGTCTGCTTCCCCGGAGTCTCCAGACCACAGACACTGGCTGGGATGCGCACTGCGGATGCGGGAGCCACGGCAAACCCGGACTTTGCATGCGCTTGCTGCTGCCGCCCTTGTCTATTTCGTATTACCTTGAGTAAGGTAGGTAACCTACCTTACGGTACTGTTCCAGTGTTCCTTCAATTTTTTGAGCCGAGCCAAACCACTCTTACACGCCACGGACTTGACAGACAGGTAGCTCGCGAGGGAGGTCGAGGTAGGTTAGCACCGAACGAATGACCCAAGGTACCCTACCTGGCCTGAGCTGGCCTGGTCTGACTTGCCTGACCTGACTCTCTTTTTGTTTCCAGCCTTGGAAAGGGACCAGGGAGAAGAGAAAAAATAAAAAAGAACACACGGGCTTCAAGTAGCACCAGGGATCGTACAAGGCTCCCAGTGTCTCCAGTCCGTCTACCTACTTCATCTACCTAGCGCCCATCGTACGCCCGCTCGTTCATCCTCCACGCTCCTTGATTACCTTTTAGTCTTCCCATTTCCTTTTCAAGACTTCTCTGCAGTCGACAGTCCAAGACATTCTGTTATCTTCATCTCTCCCCCTATCACGGTGCCCTCTATCGCTCGACGAATACTGCCTGCCATCCCACCTGTCTCTCCCGTTCAACGCAACA